CCGGCCCCCCCAGCCAATCAGTGCTCAGGGAGTGAGAGCCAGTAAGAAGTCAGGGGAAGAGCCGAGAGCTCTGCCTTGCAGCCAGCTGGACCAGGAGCCAGCCATCTTTCTAAGCCAGGCCCTGCTCAGGGAACCCGCGGTCTGGTCTCTCACACCTGCCAGCCAATCAGCAGACCAACACCAGGTCCACTGAGCCAATCAGAAGAGGGGAACCAGGGTGGACATACAGCCTATTGGGAAACAAGCCAATCATAGCACAGCACTGTGCCTCACACCCAACTGGGGGCTCAGGGCATGCAGTGACAAGAGCCAATGAGAGCTCAGAGACTGGCGGACAGAGCCCAGAGAGGGCCCCAAGAGCTCTCAGCCAATCTGAGCTAGTGGGACCAATCGCTTACTGGCTCAGCCAATCAGCCACAGGCTAGGCTGACCCCACCAGCCAATTGCAGTGCATTAACCCCTTCCTGCCCTGTTCTGTCGCCTGACAGGGACATGAGCTCCATGGTCTTCAGCCCCTGGAGCAGCAGTGAGACCCTTACAACCCCACAGGGGGGCGCTGCAGGGGCCCCAGCCCCCTATGAGGAGGAGACGCCCCCCTGCGGCTGCTACCAGGCCCTGAGGAGGTAGGGGGCACTACGGGGCACCACTGGGGGCACTAGGCTGCAGGGAGGGGCCAGAGCCAGTTGCAGGGGGCATCCTTCCATGGTGGGGGCAGGTGGGCTGGGTGCAGCCTCCAGGGTGGGAGCAGGGGGGGTATCCATCCAGGCTGCCATGGGTGACATATCCAACAGGTGACACCATCCATGGGGCCCAGGTACAGCTCCCCCCCAGGCAGGTGAGGGCACTATGCCAGTGTCCCACATCTCTCCCCCTCCACTGCTCACTTGATTCCAGTAACCCCTGCCCCCACCAGCAGCCAGGCTGATGCCCACCCTGGGGGGGCCTCTAGGGGGCACGGTGGGACAGGGGGATCCCACAAGGGCAACACTCACCCCCTGTCCCCCCATTTCTACCCCTCCCTGGCATATTTCAGGGACCTGCTGGGGCCAGAGGGGTACAGAGCCCCAGTGCAGCCGCTGTTCAATGACCTGGATCGGGTGAGTGGATGTAGGGGACTGGGGGGCAAAATAGGGGATCTGGGGTCCAGCAGGAGGCGCTGGGGCAGGTGCCAGGAGCTGGCCCAAGGGGTGCTGGGCTGTGGGGCAGGGAGGACCGAGCAGGGGGCACTGTGCTCAGGGCCCATTCCTCTCTCCCTGCCCAGGTGCATCATGGTCCACTGGAGGCCCATGCCGCTCTCCTGCCTGGCAGAGAGGGGGCTCCTGGTGCCAGCGACCTGCTGGGGCCCCTGGAGCAGCGGCTGGGGCGGGTGGAGCTGCAGCAGAAGACCCTGCACAACATCCTGGCTGTGATGAGCCGGGAGCTAAGCCGGCGTGAGGAGCCTGGGGCTGCAGCCTCTGAGGCCCTGGGGGAAGCCCTGGCCCGAATCCTGCAGCTGGAGGAGAAGGTGACTCCCTATTCTTGCCTCTCCACAACACCCCAACTCATCCCCCATTCCCCCCCCTTCCCTCCCACATGACCCCATGGCATCAGATTTGACCTGTGGCCCATCTCAATTGCCCCATAGCCCTTAGTATGGATCCATATGTCACTCCTCTTTGACATATGACCACTGCCCTCTGGCACTACAGTTGACCTTTGACCTTCTGACAGTGGCCTATGACCTTCCAATGATAGTGTGTGGTTTTCTAAGTGTTGCCTAGGGTCTTTCAACAGTGGACTAGGGCCTTCCCATGGTAGCCTGTGGCCTTCTGATAATGGCTTATGTGGCCTCCCATTGCCCACATTACCCAGCGTCCTCTCACTTTTGGCCTGTGACCTTTGTGGACACTGTCAGAATTGACCTTTGACAGGAAGAGCCTCACAAGCTCCCTCACCTTTGTCCTTCCAACCGTTGTTGAGCAGGCCAGTCCAATTTTGACCCCTGCCCCCCCCCCCCCGCTCTAACTAGACCTGCAAGCCCAAGACATGTGAGCACTGACCGTGACCTCTCATCTGAACCACTTCACCCTTCCCCTTTGGCCTCAGCCCCATTCTACTGTCTCCTACTTCACTCAAAAGACCATGAGGTGGGGGAAAACCTTTGCCATAGGGTTGACCCTTCACCTCTGACCCCACCTATGTCTCCCCCCCGACCCCTCCCCAGGTAGCCCATCAGGACTCGCTTCTGGCCATCAAGGATGTCATGATCAGCAGCTTGGGTGCCCGCATCCAGACCCTGGAGCAGACGTCCTATGATGGGCGCTTCCTCTGGAAGGTCACTGACATCACCCTTCGGAGGCGGGAAGCCCAGACAGGCCAGAGGCTTGCCCTCTACTCCCCCTGTGAGTGCCTTCCCCACATCCCCCACCATGCGTCTCATCTATTTCTACTCCTCTAGTGAATGTCTGTTGAGAAGGACACTCAAGAGAGGTGAATGGTCCCCCCCACCCCCCGGGGAGCCTATTATAGCCCCTATGACATCCAGCAGGAGGGAGCCCCAGGAAAAAAACACCACTCCCCAGCCAGGGAAGCAAAGTGTAGAATGCAGCTTGCCCATCCTGTGTCTCAATACATCAAGGCATGCCACTGTCCCCCGGCTAGGAGGACTTGCACATCCCATCATGCTTCTGGCCATTCACATGGCAAGGAGTCCAATGGCTTCCTCCAAGATGGCCACCTGGAAGGAAACCCCATTGCCCAAGGGGCCTTCCAAGATGGCCACTCACCTCACACACTCTCTCTCCCCCCACCAGCTTTCTACACCCACCGCTACGGCTACAAGCTTTGCCTTAAACTCTTCCTCAACGGGGATGGAGCTGGGGCCGGGACTCACCTCTCTCTCTTCTTGGTGGTGATGAGGGGGGAATATGACTTCCAGCTCCAGTGGCCCTTCCAGCACAAGGTGAGGAGGGCACCAGGGACACATGGGGGCAGTCTCATCCTAGGCCCCCTTCAGTGCAGGCCGAGGGCAGGCTAACTCTGAATCCCACTCTTCTCACCCAGGTCACCTTCAGCCTTCTGGACCAGAGTGGGCAGCGGCACGTGTCCACTTCTTTTCGCCCCCTGGGGACCTCCTCATCCTTCCAACGGCCTGTTGGCAAGAACAACATCGCCAGCGGCCTCCCTGAGTTCTTCCCCTTGCGTCAGCTGGAAGCCCCGAGTGGGGCCACCTACCTCCAAGAGGACACACTGGTCTTCCAGGCTTTGATAGACCCCAACGTTTAAGGTGGGCATTCCCAAAGGACTAGAGCCTCAGGCCCCTACAACACGGCCGATGCCTTTGATACACCCTTGGCGTGCTTCAAGATGGCTGTCCACACCACGTCTCCCCAGTAAATGCTTCCTCCAAGATGACCACCAATCAGAGGTGGCCAACATCTTTAACTCCACCCTTGGTGTCTTTCAAAATGGACGCCTGCACCAAGTCTCCCTGATGTATGCTTCCTCCAAGATGGGTGCCTGTAAGACATGGTCAACATTTTTGACTGCACCCATGGCATGTTCCAAGATGGCCACCTGCGCTGTATCTCCCTGGCAAACACTTTTTCCAAGATGGTTAGCCATAGGATAGGCAAGGTTTTTGTTGGCAGCTTAAGATGGCTGCCTGTGCTGTGTGCTCTTGCCAAAAGCTTCCTCCAAGATGGCTACCTGCAAGGTGTAGCTAACACATTTTTAAGATGGCTACCTACACCATATCTCACCAGCAAATGTGCCTGCCCATAAGACACAGTAACTTCTTTGGCTCCACCCTTGGCATGTTTCAAGATGGCTGCCTATGCCACATCTCTCTGCCAAACACTTCCTCCAAGACAGCCACCTGTAAGATGTGGCATTGGCTTTGTTGGATGTTGATCTTTAGTTCTACCCTTAATGGGTTTCAAGATGGCCACTACTACCGAGTTTCCCTGACCCCAATGACCACCAGCAAAACACCATCTGGACAAAGTCTACTTTCAAGATGGCTGCCTAAGATGTGGCTCCTGCTCCCAAGATGGCTGCCACAGCAAGACATCTCCTTGGTAAAGGTTCCTTTCAAGATGGCTCCCCACATGATGGCTAACCTTCTTCCAAGGCAGTCATCTGCCTCTTGGGTGTCTCTCCCACTAGTCCCTAGCCAATAGTGTCCTTCAAGATGGTGGTCATGACCAACGGAGTCCCCCCACCAACCCAATCCCATGGGATCCATCCAAGATGGCTGCTTGGCACCTTCCAAAATGGCCTCCATCTAACCTGAAGGCTTTGCTCCAAAGCCGGTAACCAAGATGCCTGCCCATGGAAAAAGAAAGGAGGAGGAAAAATCTACTTGGTGGCCATCTTGAAAGCCACTTTCCAAGATGGCGGGAGATGCTGGGTGGCATCCATGTTGGAAGAGGTCTTGTGTCACAGGAACCACGAAGGGATGACAGTGGTCTTCAAAAATGGGTCTTGCTCATGACAGTGGCCTCCTACTGGCCCCCTGCCTGATGCCCGGGGCCAAGAGGGCGTGATTTTCGACCCCTCCCCCCATTGGTCACATTTCCCAGCAGACTGAGATGAACCTATTTATTCTGACAATATTAAACTTAATTTATTGGTTTATGACTACCAGGGGGGTGGAGTCTTGTGCTTCCATTGTCTCCCACCCCGGGGTGCCGGGACCCACAAATCCACTGCAAGGAGGCCCTGGATTGGCTTAATTCTTTATTGAGTTCTTGGAGGCAGTGAGTAATGCTAAGCTAAGAGACAACACCCTCCTCTACGTGGGGATACAGACCCCCGCGACCCATAGCAAACAGGGCACTGGGGTGATTTCCTCCCTGGCTACTCTACCACACACACACACACACACACACACACACACACAACATAGGAGCCATGGGCCTGGCCTCAGGAGGCCTAATTGCCCCTTCAGGCCTAGGCCTGGTCTCCCACCATGGATCAGGCCTGTCCAGCCTGGCACCACATGCCAGCACCCAGCCCCAGAGGCCTGTTATCCACCTGTTGGTACCATTTGACCAGACCCTGGGGTCTGTACTGGGCCTGGGATTAGACCCTCACCACAACAGACCAGGGGATGAGGGTCTAATGGGGTCCATGGGGCTGGGGATTGGATGCCATGGCAATGCTAGCCAACCCAGGAAGCCTGGCATCCAAACCTTGCCACGGCCGACTACGAACCTACCCTACTGGGCACTGTTGGCCAAACCAACTGGCCCATCCAGAGTGGTACTTGGCTAAGCCTCACTAGCCTGCACTAGGCCTCAACTAGGCCCAACCAGGCCTGACTGGACCCTGCAAGGCCTGACCAGGCCTCAACCAGGCCCGACTGGACCCTACTAAGCCCAGCCAGGCCCAAACCAGGCCCCATTAGACCAGGAGTGGGCAAAATGCGGCCCACCAGGCCATTCCATCCAGCACACAGGACCCCTAAAAAATTTAGAAAATTAATATTTATCTGCCCCTGGCTGCCTGTCATGCAGCCCTCGATAGCTTGCCAAAACTCAGTAAGCGGCCCTCCACCCAAAATAATTGCCTGTCCCTACCATAGACCAACAATAGCTATAGTTGTGAAAGGAGAAGTTGCCGTGGCAGTGAGAAGCCATTGGTTGCATCTGGCAGGTCTCTGAGGATCACTCTGAAACACCAGCACCACAAAGGGGGGGGTTGAGAAGCCATGTTGAGGGGCTGGGGGCAATTGTGAGGGGAACATGATACATCCCCCACAGCTTCTATCAAGCCACTGAGGGTCTCTGGGCCTGGTAGTCAATGAGGAGCCCCCCAGGAAGTGAGCGCAGCCCCACAAAATTGCCCCCCCTCCCCCGCCCCTTGCACTGGACTACTAGAGACCCTGCAAATTCTGACGGGGGCAATTCATGGGTCCACACCCTTGTCCCAGTCCCACCGCCGCTCGGTCTAGGGTACTCTGAACCCCCTCATTCATTCATTAACTGTGGGGGGCTATAGAAGGACCCGCTTCCCCAGCCAGCAGGGGACGACAGTAGGCTGAACTGGGATTGCTGGGGGGG